TGCACGGCAACAAAGAGCAGTCCCCACTCACCGCAACTAGAGAAAGCCCGCGCGCAGCAACGAAGACCCAACACAGCCAAAAATAAAATAAATTAATAAAATAAAATAATCTGAATAACCACCAAAATAAAAGACACAGAGCTTATTATTTCCAAGTTAATACATGTGAAAGACTCAAATAAGAGGAGGAAGGGAAAACTCAATGAATTTGAAAGACAGCAATAATAAAGAGGGGAGGCAGAAAAGGCAGCACAAAGAGAAAGGACATAATGAGACTTATTTCTACAATCCTAATATTTTAATAACCACAATAAAGGAAAATGTATTAAATTTTCCCACTAAATAAAAAAGCAAATGTCAGTCTGGATTGTTTTAAAACCCACTGTTTAAAGCTGGTACTTACAGAACGTTTGAAAATCAAACTGATAATCAATGAAATAAATCATTTAGTGTTTGCGTTTTCCCTGAATTTTCTAGTTTTAGAATCAGGCTACGGTGAAGTGGCCCCCATAGTCACTGTAAATAAGCAGTTACTAGGCAACCGCTGCACGCAGCATATCTAACTATGCGCTGCTGAAGTTCTGAGAAGAAAAAGAAGCAAACTCGAATCTTTTTAAGATCAAAACTTTATGAATTTTCTAGCCATAGTTTTTTGAGTTGTATGATTTTTAGACCTTGCACATGAAATATACTTTTCTTTTGGAAAAGTACCTTAAAATCAAGATTTTAAGAATGAGACCATTCTCTATTGTTTACTTCTTCGATCATCCTGTTCACCAACAAAAGGAACACAGAATCTAAAACTCTGGCAAAGTTATTCTATTATTTATATTCTAATTGTTATCACTTGTTGCAGAGAATAGAGAGTCCATTAAGTTCCTACCTATTTAAATGAACAGGACTTCCCTGGTGGCACAGTGGTTAAGAATCCGCCTGCCAATGGAGGGAACACAGGTTCGAGCCCCGGTTCGGGAAGATCCCACATGCCGTGGAGCAACTAAGCCCGTGTGCCACAACTACTGAGCCTGCGCTCTAGAGCCTGCACGCCACAACTACTGAAGCCCGTGCGCCTAGATCCTGTGCTCCGCAACAAGAGAAGCCACCGCAATGAGAAGCCCGCCCACAGCAATGAAGAGAAGCCCCTGTTCGCCGCCACTAGAGAAAGCCCGCACGCAGCAACGTAGATCTGTTTCAGTAAATCTGTTTCAGGGTTTCTTTAACAGTGTGTGTCATGAAATGGAATTTGAAGTGCTCAGTCTTTTCGACACTCTGGAGTCACTGAAGTGCTTCCAAGTAAGATAGCCAAGTCAGCAAGGGTAGTTATTTCTGTTAATTCTCTTATGATTGCCACAGGGAGAAGGATTCACTTTAGTAAGTTCTTGAGGCCTATTACTACAAAATCATAAAAGGTGAAGAATCAAAAGAGACCATAGGGAACTTCTGGTCTGACCCTCTCTAATTGAACAACTGCAAAATCTGAGACCATGAGAAAGGAATTGATTCTCCCAAAGTGTACTAGCTGATTCATTGTGAAAGGGACAAGAACCCTTTGACTCCCTCCAATTCAAAGAGCTTTCCACTCACTCCCCCGCTTTCCATTGATCATTTCTGTTGATAAACCTTAAATGCCTAATAAGCAGAGTACAAACTGTTGAGTGGAGGGACTTCCTGTTTTCAGGACTCATCAGAATGATAGATTCTAACTTTCTTGGGTCATTGATTCCCAGTGAAACAGCTGGCAGTTTGTCCGGGTCCACATTCCCTTTCTGAGACATACCTGCATTCCCTCCTGGCACCACCGTCCTATTCACAGGGAGTTCAAAGGGTGGACACCAGCAGGTGTGGCAAACCTGCAGGGGTGGCAGTCATGCTCATACAATCAGCTACTTTCCCAAAGGTAGCTTCAAATGTTGCTAGTGCTTTGCCACATTTCCCCCCAGTCATTTTTTAGTGAAATTGTCGTTTTATATTTAGACAAGATGAAACCCTTCCTTGATGCTTACTTTTACTCTCTTCATGTGAAAGGATGATGGAGATATTAAAGAGGGTCTAAGATAAGTAACTAAAAAGCCTAAAGGACAGGAAGTGGTTTCTTTGCAGGAGTCGAGTGAGCTGGGGATGTTTACCTAAGAAGAGACAGCTAAGTGATGATTTAAGTGCAGAAAAATACATTAAGGAGGAATTGCCTCATTAAAAAGCAAAGTGCTAATCCTTAAGGTAACTTCAAATTTGGGGTTCTGAAATGTTATATTGCCACTAGAAATAATAACAAACTGTATATTTGATAAAGTCTATATTTATGTGATTAGCTCTATCAGTGTGTTTTTCAAAGTGTCTGTGGCATTTTGTAACTATATTAGCAATGTATGAGAGTTCCAGTTTTCCCACATCATTGCCAGCATTTGATACTGTCAACCTTAAAAAAATTAATCATTTTGGTAATTATGTGCTTTTTATATCCTAAGAATTCTTTGTCTAATCCAAGGTCATAAAGCTTTTCCCCAAGTTTTCTTCTAGAAGTTTTCTAAGTTTAACTTATATTTAGATATAACCTTGATTTTTCAAACTAAAATTAAGTTCAAGGCACAAGTCAGGCAATGGGCTTAGGAATGCTTTGGTCAAAAAAAAAAAAGGAAAGCATGGGCAACAGTTATTAAAGTGAGTAGTATTTTACTTTGTTTTTGCAATTTACAAGTAAAACCAATAATCATTTCAATATTTCTCAACATTCTGTGTGTAATACACACAAACAGGAATTGTGGGCAGGGAAGAATCTCAAGAAGTAGTAGACCCACTGACTTTTTCCTAATGTGTTTCCATTTATGTAAAGAGATGAGTCATGAGAATTTAAATAATAGAAAATGTTTTTAAAGCAGCACACATTTCACTGAGAAACATAAGGTATAGACCAGTGATTCTCAACAGGGAAGGAGCCATATCCTTCTATGGAGACATATCAGAATCACTGGGGAGACTCTTTCAAATTATACATGTCCCCCATACCTATGTGCTGAAATTCTGGCAAAAACCCTCCCTTTTCCCACTGAGAATAATGCATATTGAGGCACTGTTACAAAAGGGCATATTTTAACTCCCAGATAAGTTGCTTTGGGAAAAGCTGTGGATCACTGTTCTAAGTGCTTTGGGAGTTGTCTACTGAAGATTCATGGATGCTTTTAAACTGGGTCTTAAAGCATAGGGTTTGGATAGACAAAGAGGGCAAAGATCATTTCACGTTTGATAATTGGTAGAGAGACAGGAAAATGACCAGGAGTTGTTTACTTTCCCCTGGATCACAGGTTAATGCAGGGAGATACGTCTGGAAGGATAGATTAGGGTTAAATTGTGGAACATAAACTCCATAAACGTAGGGGCTTTGCCTATCCAGTTCACTTCTGTATGCCTGGCACCCACAATAGTACCTTGCACATTAAACAGGCCCTCGTGAATGTTGAATTAATGAAGTTTTGACTGTCAAATTAAAAATTTAGGACATTATCTTCCAGCATCTAGACAGTGGAGAATAACTGAAGAGAGTCATAGAGACATAAGCCTAGAGCTCCAGCAAGAGATCAAGACGAAGCTATAGGTATGAGAAGCTAAGGTATAGAGAGAAGGCAAAAGTCAAGAACCAGCATCCTGGAAACATGCAGAGAGAGGGTGAGACTAAAGAAAATAAGAGAGAAGGGCTGTTAGATAATAAAAACAACGAACATAAAATGTCACTTCATAATTTACAGACTCTTCCAGATGCATGATAACAGGTAAGACAGGCATAGCTTCTCCCATTTTACATAGACTTCAGTGGTGGAATAGTAATAATAAAACATTACCAACCTAAATATAAGAAAAGAACAAAGCCAGTCACCGAAACTAAAAGTAATGTTAAGAATAAGGGGTGAATCAGTCTGGACAATAAGGAAACTGGAAACACAGTATGTTTGAACAGGGAAGGTTTTATGTAAAGAATTATTAACTTAAAGTAGGAGAGTAGCTAAAAAAAGATGTAAAGAAGACTCTAAGGGTACCTAGGGCTGCTGGAGAGTGCCTAAGGAAGAGAAAACTTGGGGGAAGGCCCACTCTCCAATAGTAAGGTTTAGATCTCTTTAGAGAAAAGGATGGCTGCCACCCATGGGATGGCAGGGAAGTTTACTGGGTTGTCAGATGCAGAGCTGGTCCACAGTCACCAGGCAGCAGGAGACAACCTTGCAGGGTACAGATGCGCCGACGCTGGTGGGAGGATGCAGACAGGGTCTGGGTGCCGCTGCCGACACGAGGTCTGGAACACACCAGCGTCCAGGCAGGAGGGTCATGGTTAGTGGCCAACTGGGCCTGGGCTGGACTGCAAGGTCACCAAGGGACAGTGTGAGGCTGGTGCAGAGCGCACTAGATGTCCGCTTCCACATACAACCTTGCTGAACCCTACAGCAGCAGCTACCGAAAGTAAAACAGCGCCCGGAAACCAGACGCCTCCTTCTTCCTGCAGTGTCTCTCCAGTGCCCTCTACTGGCCAAGCTTAACATCGTGTTCAACATAAAGAAGAAATGCTACAGACACCAGTCCACTGGGAGCTGAAAAGGAATACATTGCAACTAGGGCCGTGGGTTATTCCACATTTTCCGGAGTGCCTGCCTGTACATGACTGGGCTGTTCTATAACAAGTTCCAGAAACGAGAGGAGGCTGGGCGCGGGGTGCTGGGAAAGGATTGAGGTGGGGTGGGGAGGGGAAGGCGTACTGATGAAGCGGCAGGTTAACACGCAACCCTAGAGGAAAGAGAGATTTTATGTCCCAGCACGTCCATGGAAAACCCCAGAAAACAGTAAAAGCCAAGACTGGGTCTCCTCCCCGAACCTGGGCTTTCCCCACAGCAAGAGGCACTGAGGATTTTGTGTGTGTGTGTGTGTGGTACGTGGGCCTCTCACTGTTGTGGCCTCTCCCGTTGCGGAGCACAGGCTCCGGACGCGCAGGCTCAGCGGTCATGGCTCACAGGCCCAGCTACTCCACGGCATGTGGGATCTTCCCGGACCGGGGCATGAACCCGTGTCCCCTGCATCGGCAGGCGGACTCTCAACCACTGCGCCACCAGGGAAGCCCGGCACTGAGGATTTTGACCTACCAGCCCCGAGTTATTTGCTCACCTCTCTGGCCAGAGAGATGGGTGACTACGATTGGGACCTACATCATTTGGTCATGAGGTAGGCGAGGGAAATTTTCCCAAAGGGAGGTTGTTATGACCAAAAGAGGGACAGGGATGCTGAGAAACCTCTGATGTCTATTATGGGGGCACAGATGAAAATGGGAATAAGGCTATCTTTGCGGAAGGCTTTTTACTGCTGTATTGTATTTGTTTTTACTGTCTTATTACATTAACTCATCCTTTTAGGAGCACCGTATTAATCTCTAGGTACCGCTGGATGGAGATCACTAAAGGGGCCATGCAAGGCAGACTCTGTCAAAATGCATCAGTGCTCTCCCTCTCTCACTTGTGCTTTCACCACAGAGCAGTGATGTTTTGAGATAGTGGGAATCTTTAATTCTCCGGTGATGCAAATGATATGTGAAAACAAAAGGATTCTAAACCCTAAATATTGCTCTGAAGACAGATAAGAAATAGTAATCGGTTGAGCAGTTTGCGGTTCAGTAAGGTGATATCCAGTTACCCAAGTGGAGCTAACTATACAGAAGCCATGGATACCAGTAAGAAACGCGCGGGAGCGGACCTCGCCGGCACCCGTCAGTCCCTGGACTGGATCCGAAGAGTTTCAGCAATACCGTATCTTGCGCTGGTGCTGACCTCTGTCTCCATGCATGGGCTGGCTGTGACAACTCACTATTCATGTGCAGAGACCCGAGTTCTTCACGGCGTGCCAGACACAGCTGCTCTCGTTGGAAAATTATTCTATTATCCAGTTTCTCCATATGCCTTCCAAGGGAAAATAAGTCAGTTTCAGGTAAGCATCTAAGTATCTCTAACCAATCTGTTCAGCACTGTGTTTCGTAGATATTAAAAATAAACAGGGTTCAAGCTTTCCAAGTAGTCCCTGTAACCCTGTAATAGTTTATATGTAGGTGTCTCAGGGCACTGTCCAAGAAAATGAAAGTACTTTTAAAGGCTTACAAATAACGAGCTACTGTAAGGAACCTAGTCTGAGAGGAAAAGCAATCCAATATATGAATTTAATAGAATTTAGCATTTTTAGACACAAGCCTTAATTGTCAATCATATTAAATAGTTCCTAGGCTTTGTAAACTTCTTTTAATGAAATACTTGACCCAGTATTTTAATGAGTTTAGTGATTATTCTGTGATTTCTACTCAAAGTTTAGGTTTTTCAAAAGAACTTTATGAAGCTGAGAAGAAAGAAGTATATTCTTAGCGTTTAAAAAAAACTGGTTTATGATTAAACTTGAAATGTATACCTCAACAGAGATCTTTAACTCTTGTTATCAGTGCTCTGCCACAGGGACAGAGCAAACAAATGTAAAACCTCTTCCCAAAGGCAAGTTCAGACTTTATTTCATGTGTAATTGAACAGGTTACAGGGGTTCATAATGTCAAACTGCCAAGATAGCTGGAATATAATCCTTCTATCAAGACCTTGCAAGGACTGCCCTTAGAAGATGAAGGAAGAGATTACTAAATCATGGTGCTAGTGTCTGGGGATTTCTGTTTCCAGCAAACACGAACAGCCTCCATCACCTTTACCCTTCATGTGCTGGATAGGGATGAAGTAAAGGAAGCAAGCTGGATTCCTTCTCCAAGTGGGTAAGTGTCCGCATTAAAAAAGTACCAGGACACCTGGGTGTGGCGCTGAGCCTATGAGTTTAGTCAAAAGAGCAAGGGCAGGATATGAAGAAGCAAAACCTTGCACTGGAGGAAGAATAAGGAACAGAAGACCATCACAAAAGGGAGAAGTAGACACATTTCACAGTGTTGCTAATAAACAGGCTCTTAGAGCAAAGCTTATTATGGTAATTCCTTGAATTGGAAAACAACCTCCCCAAATAAATGAACTCTTGGGAACTAAGTTTTTATTTCTCATACCATTTTATTTTACACTCAGGGACCATGCACTAACTGAGAACAGTCCTTTTCTCTTTTCCTCTTTCAAAAAGCAGCATCTGAATACACATATGCCTTGTAAGCATAGAATACATTGGAATATTATGGTAACAGTAAGGGAGGAAAACTGGGAGACTGGGCAATAAGGATGACGGGGTAAAAAAGGAACACAGTGTATTTTACATGATTTTCATTTTTGTGCCTTGTGAATCTTATATTGTGTTCATGTATTATCTGTTTTAAAATCGATTAAAAGGTAATTCTATAGGGTTTAACAATTCACATTTTGAGTATTTTTTATTTTCCTTAAGTTATTTTCCAATATGGAAATAACCATGTTGTTTGCTATCCCTCTTAATCTAAAATTTTGAAGTTTTTCTCTAGAAAGTTGCTTTTTAACTTCTAGAATAATTTTTATGCAAAACTATGAAACATAGTTCAGGCCAATAATAACCAACTCTTACACAGCAACTCACAATTTATAAGGTGTTTTCCCATGTATCATTGCATCTTTTTTCATTTTTTTTCATTTACCTACGCATTCATTCATTAAGAATTTAGTGAGTGTCTACTATTTGCCAGATCCCTGAACTGGGCGTAGGAGATAATATGAATAAATTGCTGCTGAGGAACTTGCTCCGGTAGGGTATGTGGAAATGTAATTTAAAAAATGGTAATATGGTGCAAAGAATGCATTACATATATCTTATATATGTAAGATATAGAGGCTACATTCGTAGATTAACTCACCTTGGGGGAGGATGTTGGCAAAACTTTTTGGATGAGGTAATGTCCATGATGGACATTAAAGTTGAAGTTGAAGTCAGCTAGCCAAAACAGGAGGAAAGGCACTATAGGCTCAAAGAAGGACCTGTTGAATGGTTACAAAAACATTAAACAGAATGTTATGTTTGGAAAACCACACAAAATTTGGCATTGCTGAAACACAGGGTGAGCTGGGTAGTGGCGGGACATGAAGCTGGAGAAGTTAGCAGAGGCTGGATCTCGAAAAGCCTTATGGGCTCCGTGGCACATTTGAAAGTCTTACAGATGAAGGGAAGAAATGAAAGCCTTAACAATGCATTCAAAACAGAATCTAATCATTTCACCCTAAAAATTAATCCTGTTTTCATTTTCTTAAAAGAACTAATTTTTTTTTTTAATACTTTTTGGTTTAGTATACCTGTTCATTTCAACAGTAAACTAGGGCTATCCTATGCTCACATCCTTTCTGGATCTGTGAGAGTTATTACTTGGGTTTCCATTCAGCAAAGCCACAAGCTTCTAGAGACATTGGCCTCACAATCCCAACTATGGACTAAAGTCAAATCATGGGCTATTACTTAAAAGAGCGCATTTAGTAATTGCAGGGACTACTCACCAGTACTTCCATTTAAGAGGAGGTCCACTGTTGGTCTAGATGCAAAAGATGTGAGATAAAGAAGTACAAGAGAGCAAAGCAAAAGGAAGGATGCAAAGAAAAGAGGGATACAGAAGGATGAAAGAAAAAAAGAATGCTAGGAAGGAAAGGACACAGGGTAGGATGAAAGGAAGGACACAAGGATGGGAAGGATAGGAAAGGTCACAGGGAAAAGACGAGAAGGGACAGAAAGGAACAGGACAGGCGCAGTAAGAGTGAAAGTCTTATTGTGTGCCAGGTAATAACTTGCGAAGTGCATATAGCAATTAATATTCAAAATAGCTCTGCAAGGGAAATTTTTACACCCATTCTCTATTCGAAGAAACAGAAGCTCAGATCAGTTAAATAACTCAAAACTTTCTAACTCCAAAACAACTTTCCCACTGAAATTCTTACCTTCTGATTGAAGTCAGAACACCTGAATTAGGATCAGGTATTTACTCTGTGCCTTTGGACATTTTTCTTAGCACTTTGAATCTCAGCTTCTTCAACTATAAATTAGGGATTATAATAATTGTCTTCCCTATCCTCCTAGTTATTGGAGGCAACAATAAACGATGTAGGAGAGAATGCTATATATACCCGGAAGGCCTACATAAAAATAAGGGATTGCTAATAAAGCAATAATCCATGCTGTACTGTTCTTTTCAATCTTCAGTATTAGGGCCCACGGAGGCTCAAAGGAGTTTTCCACCATCATAGCTGAAATTACTCTTAAAGCAGCTGCTGAAACTCTTGGTGTTCAAGACCGTCTCTTTTTGGTACACACACTGGCAGACTATTTCCACTTGGATCCTTCTTTGGTGACCATGAGCACGTTCAGAAGCAAGGTAAACAAGCATCTCTGGAACCTTCCAGTGTTGGCTGAAGATCCTAGGCAAGTCATTCCTTTACAAGGTCACTATGTACAATTCCACTGGTCTATGGAACATGATGTTTCTACAGCACTGCCAGAGCTAATGCAAGTTTTTCAACAGCATGCTTCCTCTAAGTATCTTGCCCAAATTTTAGGATATAAGATTGAAGGTTGGAGATTACTTCAAAAATCTCAAAGAAGACCCAGGCAGTTAAGGGCTATCCCAGTCCCAACAGTAGGGCCAAATGAAATGACGAGAAAACCAAACAACCCTTTCTCTGTTTCACTACCCACCTTAGTGACTCCTTGGATCCCTAAAGATGAGGCCTCTTCAATTTCTGGCTTATTTGCTGCCTTAAGACGGATCACTCCTATCCTCCATCCTGACTTTATTCCAGGTACTCCAAGGTATACAAAGATGACAAGGCCACTGCATACAGTAGCATCACAGAATTCATTAAAGGAAATGTCCTTGACAACAAACCTTGAATATTCTTTTGCTTTTCCTGAGGTCCTTCCTTCTATGGTATTAACAGCTACTTCATTCACAGATTCTGACTTCCTTCAGAGTAGAACTTCTACAGTATCCGTGTTGTTAGAAAAACTAGACTTGACAGAGTGGGAGATAAGGGGGCACACCCCAATCCACGGAACAAAAATACAAAAGCATCCTGTTTTATCTGACCTTGTCTCAGAGCCAGTCAGTCAACCTTGGTATTCACGAGCCTTTCTTGCCTCATCCAAGTACTCTCATTTTCCTGGGTCCTCAGTCTCTGAGGAGGTGATACAGGATGTGGCCACACCTTCCGAGGGACTATCTTCAATGACAACATTCCTCTGCAGATGGAGTGGCTCTCACCCAGTCTACCTGGGAAGGTTTGTACAGTCACGTAACCGTCTCCTGATACCTGCAGCCTCAGCGAGGGAGATACTGGCAGTCTCGCATTTTCCCCTTGAGTTCAGCCAGTTGCCCCTGTCAAGCTGGCTGAGGCAGAAGCATCTTCGTGAGCATGGTCATGTGTCTGAGACTCCTGAAGTTTCTCAGTGGATTCATTCATTCCCCACTCCTACAGAGACAGTTTCACCTCTTGGCATGAGCGTAAATACCAAATTTGCATGGGATAGTACATTTGACTCAACTCTTTTGCTGTGGGAAACTGCTCATTTCTCCAGCAACCAATCAGAGGAAGACTCATCATCTGATGTGATTTTGAAAACTCAATCTTATTCTAAGGAGACCTCATCATTTACTCATTTACCTGATTTATTGGATTCATCCCTTTCTGAGCTGCCCAAATTTGCAAATGCATTTGAGTTACCTGAAAGCATGGGCTCAAGGACTATAATGCATTTTCTTAGTGACTTGTATTCAGGCATAGAACATTTAGCTTTTAGCAAATTCTCAAGAACTAGCCGAACTTCACCAGGCAACACAATGTTTAACCTGGATCCTACTGGAATGGTGGTAAGTCACCCACATACCACCCAAAACTTATTGACAGGATATGGGACTATTTCTGACATTAACAACATGCAAGGTAAGATTGTGGTAGTTGCTTAGTTTTCTATTTGCTATATTTTTCAGTGAATCTTTATACTAACAAGTAGTAACCAAATAATGTTGGTTAAAATATTCAGATTAAAATAGTGTTAAGATTCAAATACAGTGCCTAATGTTAACTGTGATGACTTTATGAGTGCTGGATTTTCTTCTGTCTATATTTTCTGTATTTTCCAATATTTCTACAAGGAGCATAGTGATTTTCAGGAGGAAAAAATTTTAAGAAAATATTGTGTAAGAAAAGTCAACAACAAAATGCAGTACCCATTTTATGCCCTCTACACATTAAATATAATTCAGATTTATCAAAGATTCACAAACGTGGAAGGAACTTCAAGCCATCACTTAGACCATACTCTGTCTAGTTACTATTATTCCTTAATTATCTCAGAAAGACACTGATAATCTGTTGCAACCTTATGGTTCATCATAATTAGAAAAAGGCTTGCTAACAAATTCAATCTCTATTGGTAAAATTAAGACCATCTTCTCTCTCACCATATACTCTAAACACAGGCAGTACTGTGATTAAGAATTCAGTATCTATAGTCAGACAAGGGTTCAAAATCTAGCTCTATAACATACTATTTGTGTGACCTTGAGCAGCTACCTAATTTTATTATTTTATTTTCGTCATTTATAAATTGAGGATAATCATTATCCCAATATGTTTGTCATGAAGGTAAAATGAAATATGTACTTAGTGCAGTGCCTGGCATTGGGTAAATGTTCTTTAAATGCAACCTGTTATCATGTCTGCCCAGCTTCTCTTTTCTGAACTAGGTAACTCATATAGGAGTGATTCTCTTAGAACTTGTTTCATATTGAAGCATACTTGTATGGTAACTTCCATGGAAAATTGCATGGATGATTTTTAATTCTGGGGGATTTCCTATGTTTCAATTAAACATCTAATTTAAATTGAGGCTCACCATTTTATCTGGATTCACTACAGAATTTCCAGAGACATCATTTAGACAAGGTACAACCAGTTTGTCTCTCACTAAATATGAACTGCTTCACGCAACAAAGATTCTGAAGACATGTGCTCTCCATCCTGAATCTCAGAAACCCGAGGACATGTCACCCCCAGGTAAGCAATTCTATCACCAAGGAGGGAAAGCTGATGGAACTTGAGCCTGTTTGAAATTTATCTCCCTGGTAGTTAGAACATACACCGTTAGTCAATCCCATGAAATATGCAACAGTGCTCAGATCTCCCTTCAAAATAGTCTTTCCTTGATCAAGTAATTGTCCCATCCTGTCTTCTAGATTCACTGCTTTTTCCTAGTATGACACTCTTCTTTCCAACTTAGTGCGACTCACAATATCTAAAGCCACCTGCCTTTGTTATATTGCAGCATATTCCCATTTTTGCGATAGTCACCTACCTCATCATCTCTCTCAGACAACACCAAATCTTTTCTGTGCAGAGCTTGAATTGTTTTCTAGGTGCCTTGGGATTTAAATGTGTTCTTTGAAATTAGAGCACTAGTTCATTACTATGTTTCTGTTCAATTATACAACTGTTACGTCCTGAACTTTAAAAAATGTCCCTCTTGAGCTTTTTAACATAGACATACAGACACACACACGCACAAACACACACACACAATCAGTTTAGAAATTTGAGCCCACTGCCAAAATATTGTTTTTCTGAAGCTCTCTAACCCAGACTTAGTTACTTGATACTACTAATGAGCTAATCTCAAGATCTTCTTCCATACTATAATTTAAGGCTGAGAGGATTAGGAAATTTGGAAACTAACAACCTCTGTGAATATGTAGAAGTAGCATCAAAGCTATAATGCAAACTCGACCAGTTGATGATAAGACAGAAGATAAAGAAGGTCAGAGAAGAGGGAGAGGGAAGTGAGAGAAAGAAAACCAAAAGAGAAAGTGCAGACAGAGCTTAAGACGGATGAACCTGACCCTTGAGTAGATGGAGGAAGTGTCCCCAAATCAAAGGCTAAAAACAGAGATGAAAGAAGTCAGTCTCTTTCACTCCTTCCTGGAATTACTTATGTGGTACTCAAATACAGGATGTCTGTGATTTCCCACATTCCTATGCAAATCAGGTCCAAAAATGAATACGGGGGGAAATAAGTCAACCACCAAGACAACCTTAAACATCTAAATAAGAATAGTTTTTGTTGAAATTTGTTTCTTGTTTGCTCCTTCTAGGTCAACCCAACACATCTCCAACAGTTGTTAATCCAATTCAACTGATAACAGCAACTGTCGGGCACAGACTCCATTTCCCAATCCATCCTGACACATTTTATGATCAGGAAGATGGCAGCTCAACTCATTTGACACTTGCAATAAAATCAGTAGATGAATATCCTTCAGGCTCAGAAAGCTGGCTGCAATTTAATTTGACTCATCAAATACTATACGGTTATCCCCTAGAACTGGATTTTCAGTATTCCCCTCAGGAATTTATTCTTCGTGCCACAGATTCTGGGGGCCTGGCTGCTCAGATGCTTTTCACCATTGAACTGAAGCTGCCCAGAAGTACACCCTGCCACACTTACACTCTGCGCACTAAAAACAGTTTCTACTCATTTATCAAGAAGAGAGAGAGGATTAGTTTGTTTCTTGCTAAACTCACTGACTATCTAAACTCCAGTAGCCCTGAACAAATTGTATTAACCACCCTGAGACCAGGGTCTACTATTATATCCTGGTATAACAGAACCTTATGTGAAGTCAACGGCAGTTCTCTGAAAAGGTGTCCTAACAGAAAAATTCAGGAAGTGATGTTTAAACTAAGAAGGCCTGATGGGAATGTCCATCCAGATTTTGCATATGCTATGTCACCGGAATACAAAATTGGCACAATTGAGAACATCACATATGGTGGAATCTGCCTTATTCTGGAGCCAGATAATGGGTCGTTAATTGAAAACAGCGTTCTTGCCTCATCTAACATAGAAAATACCCACTGGATTAGAAATCTTATTTTGGCTTTGTTGGTAAGTATGTGTATACTGATTGTGGCAATAGCAGCAAGTGTAACTTACCATTTCTATAGGAACTATAAGACTTTTCTTATTCCTCAGTCCCTGGTGTTTCAAGGGAGAACCTTAATAAGTAATTCAGACCAAGAAATGTACGTGCTAAGGCCGAGAAAGCCCCCTATCCTGGAGTGCGAAGTTCCACCCTCAGCTGGATTATGGAGAGGGACACCATTGTCTTCTCAACATCAACCTTACAGAGAAAACGTGACCTCTGCCACAGACACAAGAGTAGTCAATCTTCCAGCCTTCAAAACGTCAACTCCCATTCCATGATGAAATGGATCTCACTAGCCAGAGGAGAAGTGAGTAATACTATCAGAAATCCAAATGTATCAACAACTGTATGAGAAACAGGGATAACTGATCTAGAAAGCAGGTAAAATAAACAATTGCTGAGTCAAATTGTAAAAAGATAAGCAATAAATAATTCATCCTCCATGTTAACTGTATTAACATACTACCAATTAATTCTAATCACTTATTTCTCCTTAGAATCCTGATGGTCAATTATAAGTTTATGTCACCCAGACCACCGCTACCATAAACAAATCATGTAATGAATCATCCATTATGGAAAGAAATTGCATCACTGGCAACAGCATATCCAAATGTGAAAAATGCTGTAAACTGCCGGCCCAAGATACTCATCACAACCTTCAGTATGAAGGCATAAATAATATAACGATAAATAATAAATTCTGCAATAGTTTAAGGTTTGACTGTGTATAGGAAAGAATGATTAAATGTTTACCTCTCCATTGTATTTTTTTTTGCGGTACGCGGGCCTCTCACTGTTGTGACCTCTCCCATTGCGGAGCACAGGCTCCGGACGCGCAGGCTCAGCGGCCATGGCTCACGGACCCAGCCCCTCTGCGGCATGTGGGATCTTCGCGGACCGGGGCACAAACCCGTGTCCTCTGCATCAGCAGGCGGACTCTCAACCACTGCGCCACCAGGGAAGCCCCTCTCCATTGTATTTTTAAAGTTTTTGTCCAGTTTTATTGCGATATAGTTGACATACAGCACTGTATAAGCGATGATTTCACTTACATATATCATTAAATGATTACCATGATTTAGAGAACATCCATCATCTCATATAGATACATTTAATAAATAGAAACAAATATGTGTCATTGTGATGAGAACTCTTAGGGTTTACTCTCCTAGCAACTTCCATATATAACACACAGCAGTGTTCATTATCTTTATCATGTGGTACGTTACATCCCTAGTACTTCTTTATCTTACAACTGGAAGTTTGTACCTCTTGACTGCCTTCATCTATCCCCCCTCTGGTAGCCACAAATCTAATCTCTTTTTCTATGAGTTTGTTTATCAGTTTGTTTTTGAAGTGTAATTGACCTACAACTCTAGGTTAGTTCCTGGTGCACAACATAATGATTCAATATTTCTATAAATTTCAAAATGATCATGAGAAGTCTACTTGTCATCTGTCACCATACAAAGATATTACATAGTTACTGACTATATTCTTCACACTGTACATTTCATACCCTTCACTCATTTATTTTGTAACTCAAAGTTTGTACCTCTTAATCTCCCTTACCTCTTTCTCTCCTCCCCCTACCCAGCTCCCTTCTGGCAACCACATGTTTGTTCTCTGAATCTATAGCTCTGTTTCTATTTGATTTTGTTTGCTCATTTGTTTTGTTTTTAGATTCCACATATAAGTGAGATTGTACAGTATTTGTCTTTCTCTGACTTAATTTCACCTAGCATAATACCCTAGAGGTCCATTCTTGTTGTCACAAATGGCAAGATTTCATTCTTTCTTATGTGAGTAATATT